GCCCCTAATAAAATGATTAAAAAAAAAGAATGTGTCTGCTGTTGTTGGTAGGTGTCACTGAGTCGATTATGCCCCATAGCGGCCTTGTGCACAGCAGAACAGCACACTGCCTGCGCCCGCACCAGCCTCACATTGTTGCAGCCACGTTGTCCATCCATCTCCTTGAGGACCTGCCTCCCTTTCGCTGCCCTTGTCTAGTTCTCCACTTATTCTGAAATAGCCTAGTAAGCAGTATGTAATAAGAGACATGAAAGGGCATTCTGGATTTCAACTAATTATCAGACAAAGTATCTAGAACCACGTTTTGTTTCATAAGGCACCATATAGATATATTAATATAATATAGTTTTATTATATTTTTAAATAATTTCCTCAAAAAATGTGAGGGATTCAGAAGATAGAGCACACATTCTTTTCTTTTTCTTTTTTAAATATCATTTTATTGGGGGGCTCTTACAGCTCTTATAACAATCCATTCATCAATTGAATTCAAACATATTTATACATATGTTGCCATCGGCTCCTTTTTCCCCCTCCCTCCCCCCTCTCCTCTCGCCCCTTCCCCCTTGTGACTCTTCGATAATTATAAATTGTTATTATTTTAATATTTTGTTATTATTTAATATATTATTTTAATATAATACACTGACTGCTGTCTCCCTCACCCACGCTTCTGTTGTTTGCCCCCCTTTTTTGGGGGGATGTTATGCGTAGATAATTTCCATCAGTTACCCCTTCCTTCCCCCTTCCTTCACCTTCCCCCTATTCTCCTGGTATCAATAATTCCACTTCTGTTCCTGAGGGCTTTATCTGACCTGTATTCTGCGTGAGCACACGTTTCTTAGCCAATACAGGTAGTCCCTGACTTTACTTGGTTCTACTTGGGACTTAAATAGAATGCAAGTTTCCCTTGATCTGAAAGTAGAACTTCTTCATGAAATCTCATAAGCCAAATGAGAGTGAAGTGAAGATGCAATATCCATCAATCTTTATAAAAAATATATTTTTAATCATTTTATTGGGGGCCCTTACAGCTCTTGTAACAATCCATACCTTCATTGTGTCAATCACATTTGTACATATGTTGTCCTAATCATTTTCAAAACATTTTCTTTCTACTCGAGCCCTTGGTATTAGCTCCTCATTTTTACCTTCCTCCCTCACCCTTCCTCTCTCATGAACTCTTGATAATTTATAAAGTTTTATTATTTTCATATCTTACACCAACTGCTGTCTCCCTCCACCCACGTTTCTATTGCTTGTCCCCCTGATGGTGTGTGTGTGTGTGTGTGTGTGTGTGTGTGTGTTTGAACATCGATCATTTCGATTGGTTCCCTCTTTCTCCCTCCACCTTCCCCCTGCACTCATGGAATCACTATTCCCATTATTGTTCCTGAGGGGTTTATCGGTCCTGGATTCTGCGTGTCAAGAACTCTTATCTGCACCAGTGTCCATGCTCTCGTCTAGCTAGATTTTTAAGGTAGAATTGGGGTTCTGATAGAGGGGGTGGGTGGGAGGGGAGGTGGGTGGGGGTGGGGGAGGAAGCATTAAGGAACTAGAGGAAAGTTATATGCTTCATTGGTGCCATACTGCATCCTGACAGGCTCATTTCTTCCTTGTGGCCCTTCTGAAAGGGGTTGTCCAATTGTCTACAAAAGGACTTTGGGTCTCTACTGTGCCCCCTCCCCTCATTCTAATTGATATGATTGTTTGTTCTGGGTCTTCTGATGCCGGATACCTGATCCCATGGACACCTCAAGATCACACAGGCTGGTGTGCTTCTTCCATGTGGGCTTTGTTGCTTCCCAGCTAGATGGCACTTGTTTACCTTGAAGCCTTTAAAAAGACCCCAGATGCTACATCTTTTGATAGCCAGGCACCATCAGCTTTTTTTTTTTGAGGTTTCTGAAATTTTAAATCTTTTTTTAAAAATCATTTTATTTGGGCTCATACAACTCTTATCACAATCCATACATACATCAATTGTTTAAAGCACATTTTCACATTCGTTACCCTCATAATTCTCAAAACATTTGCTCTCCACGTAAGCCCCTGGCATCAGCTCCTCATTTTTTCTCTTCCCTCCCCGCTCCTCCTCTTCCTCATGAACCCTGATAATTTATAAATTATTATTATTTTGTCATAACTTATACTGACCATCAGCTTTCTTTACCACATTTGCTTATGCACCCATTTTTCTTCAGTGATCTTATTGGGAAGATGAGCATCACAGCATGCCAGGTTATTAGAACAAAGTGTTCTTGCATTGAGGGAGGACTTGAGTAGAGGCCCAATGTCTGTCTGCTACTGTATTATTTAACATACAATATATGTACTTAGAACTATGGCCCTATCGTTATATATAAATATATTTACATATGTACATATCTTTATTTATACCTCTATAAATGTTCTTAGCCTCCTAGTTCTTTCCTCTATTTCCTTTTACTTTCCTCCTGTCCCACTATAATGTTCCACCTTCATTCGGCTCCCAGTAATTCCTCTAGGCTACTTTATATAAAAATAGTTTTGAGCATTCCCAAATCCTAAAAATATCTCCCAAATTATACCAATAACACATAAAATCTGAAATTGCACCAACATGCAGTGCTCACAAGGGAGGCTGGTGGTGTTGTGGTTATGCAGTGGGTTGCTCACGGCAAGATCAGCAGTTGGAAACCACTATCCTGCTCTCAGGCAGAAAGGTGAGATTTTCTACTGCTCTAAAGCGAGAGTTACAGTTCTGACACACACAGAGCAATTCTGCCCC